AACTTTGTGTAGAATTTATGAGCCAGCTCGTTTCAAGTAGTGATGCTTGCAATAAGAAGTAAATCCAACCATTCAAGTGCCTTATCCCGTAGTATATGTGGAAACAGCCTTAGCTTAAATCATTGTCCGAAATTCCTTGATATCTGAAGTGTTGACCCATATCCAAGAATCGAGATGTGTGTATGTGGATTTTTTTTGCCTCTGCCATAAAATTGGTGTCCATTCTAGAATAGCTATATCACATTGGTTTTCAATTGGAAATTAGGCTACCCAAACAGTGGATACACTATGTTGGACTAGCTTTGAATTACTTGAGGAGTCAAGAAATCTCCCAAAATCTCGTTTCCTTCATCCATTGCCTCTCCTTCATTGGCCAGGATAATAGGGTTGTTCGGTTTGTTAGCCATTTGCAACCGTATTTCTCTAAGTTCTCTTTGCAGTTGATGAAAAGTGAGCTCAATTTCAGGATCAACTGTAATCAATTCTCCTCCAATCGATCTTGGTATGTAACTCTGCAAGAAAACTAGTAGTAGCACTTAGATTCAAACAATTTGAAGAACTATAATAAAAATAAAATTAAAATAACCTAAACGACAATAAAAAAATAAAACTAAAAATTTGAAGTTCGAATTAGTGTATATAAAAATGAAATTAAACTAAACTCAATCCCCGACAATGGCTCCAAAAACTTGTTCACGAAATTATTCTTTCGATTTAAATCACCGTAAGTGTACGGTTCGTTAATAAGTAATAAAGTGGATCATTTGAGTCTAAATATCGTCTCACATAGATTGATTTAGTTCAATATTATTTATCTTGGCCTTAACCGAAACTAAATTTTAACAAGTGATTTTATAAACTAATTACACCCTAACCTAAGCTAATTATGCACGCAATGAACAAAATGCAATTTGATGTTTAAATGAACTAAAATATTATTAAATGTTGAAAACGCAATTTAATGTATTCAGTGATTGGATAGCACACCAGGATCACGAATTCCCAAGTAATGTTCAAATTAACCCTAATTTCACAAATTGGCAACACATTGAAATTATGAAGAATCAATGCTCCTAAATCTATCCAACAGTTTCTCTCGAGCAAAGTTGAACCTACTCTCATATAACACTAGCCTATATCTCTATAACGGGTGCAAATACACATGAATGCACGTAGTTTTGTAAGCACTAAAAGATTCACACAGAGCATGCGGTATATCTCTATCCCCTATCAGACTCTTCGATAATTTATACCTTGTCGAACTTATTCCCCTTCTTTCGAATGCAAGAAATAAGTCACCTAAACTCACACAATTACAGGCCCTTAATTGCGGAAGAAATTAAATGCATATAAATCATTCAAAATAATCAAACATGTTTTAATGTCAAAAATATGAAACAAAGAATTAAGAATCACATTAAAAGGTTTATCGATCTCTTAGCACATAAAAATCTAGCCTAACATAATGGGAAGAAGAAAACAAACTAAATAATAAAGAAAAGACATCATCACTTTAAATCTTAAATTGAATCCTTGCGTCTTGATTTCAATCGTTACGTTCTCGCCTTGTTCTCCTCTCTTAAAACCCTAATGAATGTATTATAATGCGTGGTGTATGCTTAGGGATGACCCTAAGATTATAAAATACCTCAAAAGATTAGTTGAACTGCAGTAGCTTGAAGATATAAAATCAAGCAAGCTATGGCTTGATATATTACTCTATAGCAATTTCATTTCTATTATTCATTTTGTCAACTTTTGGATCTACTGTATTTAGTTTTAGCTTTTCCGGGGATCATGGATCATGTTTCTGGTAAAGCCAAATTGTGGGTCATGTTGAAAGCTACCATTTTCTTATCATATTGATATAAATCTTTTGTAATACGCATTCTCTTTAGATTTAAGCCTCTTTTTGACAACCATTAAAATAAAACCCCTTTTTCGTAAATTTATTTTCAATAATACATTCTCACAATAAATTATTTTTCAGTTAAATTTAATTTTTTTTAAATATTTTCAATGACACATTCTCTAAAACACACTACTCCAAACTTCATTTTTTTTCAAAAAATTAATTTTAATAGTTGTCAAACTGGAGCTAAGTGTGTAATCGAACACCCCTAATTGCATCCATATCCATTTAGCATGATTACGCCCAAAGTGTAACACGGTGATTGTAGTATAGATTTGGGGTATCATATCAACAGGAAGATGTGAAATTAATTAAAGGGTCCAACAAACTAGGATTTTCGTTGCGAGTTATGTAACAGATAATATATCAATTTGAAATGTGTTCAAATGTATGTGAATTTACGGGTTTTGAATCAAATTATGAAATAGTGGAGCGTCGAAATTCCCTCGATTGGTTCAGATCATTCAACATCAATCATGCATTCATGTACTGAATTAAAGATTTTTCATCAAACTTTAATTGGGGAATATAACATTAAGGCCCAATTTTATTCTACAGTAATTCTAAAATATGGACTTCCTATAATATATACCCACTTTCGTCTATTGAAATTAGATTCTAAATCCACCTTATACATCAAGTATAAAATCATAGAGAATCACACCAATAGATAATTGAAATTGAAATTTAACAATTAGGTTAATTTCACGATAGATAAAACATGATTAAATCTATGCGAAATATAGTAAAAGTTAAATACACTCACAACAATGCTTGAAATTGAAATTCAATACATAATTCAATTATTCGATGAAAGAACATGATTAAATCCATGAAAATCTAATATATCGTAAACCAATCTCAACACATATTTATAAGAACAAGAAATCCAAATCTAGAATTGTTTAGCAATGGAAATCATATTACATGCATGAAATATATTGAAATAACCGATACCAATCGAGTTCCTCCCTTGCTCCACCAAAGATTTATAGAATTCCGTGGAGTTTCTTCACCTAAGATGAGAGAAAATGGTACCAAGTTCGTTCCCCTTCGTTTTGGAGTGTTCTGGGCTTAAGAATCAAGTGAAAATGTGTTATCATAGCTGATGACGTAAAATTTGGAAACTGTCAATTTTTATTCCGGGAGATAAACTATGTGACCGCATAGTATAAACCTATGCGGTCGCATAGCTTTTGAAGTTCAAAAATCTTTTTGCCGAACAGCTTTTAGTATTTTGGCCATAACTTTCCCTCCTTATGTTTAATTGAGGTGATTCAAGTTACATTGGAAAGTTAACATGAAGGGCTAACTATGCTTCAAAAATTATCCTCCAATTTGATTATCTTCGAAGTAAAAAAGGAGTTCAAATATGAGGTTGAAAATTAGTGCGTAACTTTTTTGATTGGGAATTGATTTGTGAAGATGTTATGATCATATTTCACTTTCTTTGATTTCTAATTGCACCCAATTGACCCTTGACATTCTTGAATCATCATTCCATTGCCCGTCTCATCTATGGGTTATTTGTAACTTGGTCCCTGAACTTTCACTTTCTTCCACTTTACTCCTTTTTACTCATTTATTCCAAATTTCAACATTTTCCATCAAATCGCGACCTAGATAAAAACATAAGAGTAAGGAGTGCATTTTGACGTCAAATAATCATATGAATGCAATAATTACAAGGGGAAAATATCATATTTTACACTCTTATTACACCACAACTTGCTTATTGCTGGTCCCTAGCAATTCAATGTAGAACAAGCAAACGAATGATTAGACTATGATACAAATGAAATTATTAAGTTCCAACTTAACTGCAATTCATGCTCTTTTCAAACTCAATACCACATGTACCTAACAATGCCATGATCATCAAGATATCAAAAACACTTGCCAAATGTGTGAGTGTGTGTCAAGCCATAGCCATCTTACCACCAACCCTAACACATGCAACATCACTTATGTCTCGAGCTGAAGGTTCAACTCCAGAACTCAAGGGTATCAAAGCGTTTAATGCGATTTTCTCTCTATGTAGTCGAGAAAGGGATACATTCATAATTTGGAGGCTTAAATGTTTATGAATGAGCAACAAATGAACATTGATCTTATAATAAGCATACTGTCAAATGAAAATTCATTACTTTCTTACCACGATCATACTTGGGATCAAAATAGTCAATTTAAAGGGTTGTAATGTGGTTTGAGTTAGGCTGTATGAAAATGAAGATATAAAGATTCAAGGACTTCCAAACATGTAGCTAGGCATCTCATCAAGCATCTCAATAGATTACATCTTTCGATAAATACACTCTTCAATATTTCAATCCCAAAATCAATAAAAAAAAATTTGTCCTTTTTTTAGGGCTGTTTTACTTGAGCACATACTAACTCTTGTCATTTTCTTACTTCTATTTTTCACAAATAAGCATTCAATACTCACTACACGCTTGAAAGTAAAAAGTTAGGTGAATACATGGATAAACTATACTCCAATGTGGAGAAGTATGTATAACATGGGTGTATGAAGAAAATACTATAGATGTGTGTATGGCTCAACATGGTTACTAGGGATTGTAATTATTGAAAGAGAAGAAGGCTTATTTGTTAATCCTAAATTGACCTTCATCATTTCCCAAGTAACTTACCATCTTACCACAAACCATATATTCTCAAAAGAGTTTCCAATTCACAAAATAGATGAATGCTCATTGCTATTTTAGTGCAAGGTGACTCTCGATCTTCACTAACTCTCATAAGAAAACTTCAGCAAGAAACTACTCTAGTTATATGTGCTAACCCACTATCTTACCACAAAGCCTGTGTGCGTAAAAAGATTCAGCAAATGTCTCAACATCCAAACTTTCATAAATAACATTAATTCCTAGTGGCATATATTGTCATATAAGAATATGTAGCGAATTACGGAATTAAAAAAAGAGACCAACATTCTATGTAAATCATGCAATTCACAACAAAATTTAAGTTAAACTCTCCTCCCAACTAAACATTGCATTGTTCTCAATGCAAAAACATGTTTGCCAAATAAAGGTAAGGAAAGATGTCACCTGAGTGCCGAAGTGAATCACATGAGCTGAAGTATAAGAGGTCCAAAAGTCTTTAATGGAAAGGGTAATGCAGAAAATGAATATGAAAGAATGCAATGAATAATGTATGGACTAAACCTAGAGAGAATACATAAATAAAAATAAAAAGAAAGAGAAGGAAACGAACTTCCCTTGGGTTGCCTCCCAAGCAGCGCCTTTGTTTATTGTCGTTGGCTCGACCCAATATTGCCTTCTTCAGCCCATATCCAGACAGGGCGTTGTTAACCTTCGGCGCATTGCACCAAACTCATTGAAAGTAGTCATCGGTGGTGTCCCATAATCCTAAAAATAATCAAAAGTAGCACAAGCACAAATATCAGCATATTCCCCATTATCATACCCTGTGGGAATTTCAGAATTTAACAGGAAAGAATTTAAAGAATCAGGGACAATGAGCACATGTGCTTCCTCCTCAACGAATGTATCAATCATGTATGTTTGATGACACTCATCATCTTCCTTAGGTTGTTTCATAACGTGAAAGATGTTGATGTCTAAGGTCATATTCCCAAATGATAGCTTTATCAAACCATTCCTACAATTGATGAGATCGTTAGCTGTAGCGAGAAAAGGTCTACCAAGAATAATGGAAATCTTGGAGTTAATAATCACATCTACTTTCACATCCAAAATCAAAAAATTTGCAGGGTAGCAAAATTTGTCAATCTATACTAGCACATCCTCAACTATCCCCTAGGTCTAATAGTGGACCGATCAGCCAATTACAGGACCACTGTAGTAGGTTTGATCTCACCTAGACCTAACACCGAGTATATAGCATCAGGCATGATGTTGAGACTAGCCCCTAAGTCGAGGAAAGCTTGTAAAATCTCATGGTTCCCTATAATACAAGAAACAATAGGACAACTAGGGTTCTTATACTTTGGTGGGACTTTTTGTTCAATTACGACACTCACGTATTTAGTCAAGAAGGCGATTTTCTTGACATGGTACTTCCTTTTTATAGTACACAAGTCCTTAAGGACTTTAGTATATGTGGGGACCTGGAAAATCACGTGCAAGAGAGATAGATTGATTTTTACTTGCTTGAGGTGCTCTAATATTTCACTGTATTGACTAGCAGATTTTGAGGACGACTTGAGGGCTTGAGGAAAGGGCACTCTATAGGAATTTTTCACTACCTTTTCACTAGGGGTGCTCTCTTCTACGCTGCTGGGATCCTTCTCACATTCCCTAGGTTTGGGGATTGGTTCTATGACTTTTCCAAATCTATTGGTTATGACATTTACTTCCTTCGAGTTGGTCTCTCCTGATCCTGAAGTTTGTACCATGTGTTGCCCCCTAGGGTTCGATTGAGCTTGCGCTGAGAATTTTCCACGCTTTTCTACAGCTAAGACATTAGTTAGTTTTGACATACAAGATTTTATTTCCTTGTTTTCTTCAACAATCTAGGTGATCATAGTCTCAAACTTTTGGTTAGTCTTACTCTGTGCCTCTATAAATGCACGTAGAGTGTCTTTTAAAGAGTTCCTAAAGGACGTGGGCTGATATGGAAGTGCAGTGTGAGCTTTATTTGGCTGACTTTCAGATTTACAGCTGAGATTGGGGTGATTCCACCATTCCTAGGTTGTATGTCTCGAAGTAAGGGGTGTAGGGCGTTTGATATAAACCTAAAGCATTACAGTGTTCCTTAGAAAGTCCTCTCATTTCAACATAAGTAGCACACTCCTGTGCTGGATGATCAATGCTGCCACATACAAAACAAACCCCTAAAGGCTCAACACGAGAAACAGATTGCATGAGTTTTGAATCCTTAGCACGTAGGGCTTCAAGTTCTCTAATGAGGGTTTCTACTTTAGCTCTAAGGGTGTCCTCATCCGCAAGATGGTAATTGCCTATGCTAGTTGGGTTTCCTGTGGGTCATGACATATTGGTACTCTCAGTAGCACTCGGTCCAGCCTAGGTATGGGCCTTTCCAGCTAAATCATCTAGGTATTCTATTGCCTCGTCTGGATTTTTTGTAAAAAGTCATCGTTATACATTATTTCAACAAATTGACACTCCCTAGGTGTTAGGCCATCATAAAATAACTCACTTTACGCCAACTTTCATAACCATGGTGGGGGCAAAAGGCTTACAACTCTTTGTACCTTTCCTATACTTGATACTTCTTTCATTGTCCTTTTTGACAAAAGAGGCAATTTTCTTCAGGCTAGTGGTTTTATGATGTGAAAAGTATTTACCAAATAATGCTTGCATCATTTCAGCCCAAGTCCCAATCGAACGTGGTCTCAATAAATACAACTAGCTTTTTGCTCGTTCTTTAAGTGAAAATGGAAAGAATTTAAGCCTCACTACGTCCATTGTTCCATGTTGATTATTGAAGGTTGCAACCACTTCCTCAAATTCCCGAATATGCATGTATGGATTCTCATTTTCAAGGCCGTGAGAAATGGGAAGAAGTTGAATCATTCCCAATTTTAGGTCCATACGTGATATATTGGGTGGGAACATAATGCAAGATGGCGTGGAAGTGCGTATTGGATGAAGGTAATCATGTAGGGTCCTATAGGGCGAATCTCCGTGCTCACTATCACTCACTGTGTTGTGTAATGTGATGCTCGTGTCTATAGATGCAGAATCGAAAATAGGGTTAGAAAGTTATTCAAACTCTAGTTGAGGTCTTGCAATGAATCGCCCTCGCTTGTCTCAATATCTGTTCATAAAGCACAAAAATGCAAAAATGTGAGAAATAAGAAAATACAACTAAAAATAAACAACAGACTAAAAAGATAAAAGAGAAAGAAGTCACCATTTTGTTCGAAAATCCTTTAATTATTTGTACAATCTCCTCGATAACGGCACCAAAATTTGATTATGCCCAAAGTATACGCGGTGATTGTAGTATAGTTTTGGAGTGTCGTATCAACAGGCAGATGAGAAATTAATTAAAGGGTCCAACAAACTAGGATTTTCATTGCGAGTTGTGTAACAGATAATATATCAATTTGAAATGTGTTCAAATGTTAATATGTGAATTTATGGGATTTGAATCAAAGTATGAATTAGTGAAGCGCCGAAATTTCCTTGATTGGTTCAGATCATTCAACGTCAATCATGCATTCATGTACTCAATTAAAGATTTTTTCATCAAACTTTAATTGGGAAATATAACATTAAGGCCCAATTTGATTCTACAGTAATTCTAAAATATGGATTTCCTATAACATATACACACTTTAATCTATTGAAATCAAATTCTAAGTTCACCTTATACATCAAGCATAAAATCGTAGAAAATCACACCAATAGAAATTGAAATTTAACAATTAGGTTAAGTTAATGATAGATAAAACATGATTAAATCTATGTGAAATATAGTAAAAGTTAAATCAATCTCACAACAATGCTTGAAATTGAATTCAATACATACTTCAATTATTTGATGGATAGAACATGATTAAATCCATGAAAATCTAATATATATTAAACCAATCTCAAAACATATTTATAAGAACAAGAAATCCAAATCTATAATTGTTTAGCAATGAAAATCATATTACATGCATGAAAAATGTTGAAATAACCGATACAATTCGAGATCCTCCCTTGCTCCACCAAAGATTTCTAGCCTTTCATGGAGTTTCTTCACCCAAGATGAGAGAAATGGTACCAGGTTTGTTTCCCTTTGTTCTGGAGTGTTCTGAGCTTAAGAATCAAGTGAAAACGTGTTACCTTAGTTAACGGCATAAAATCTGGAAACTGTCAATTTTTCTTCCGGGAGATAACTATGCGACCGCATAGTATAAACCTATGCGGTCGCATAGAACAAATGTGTGGTGCCCAAAAATTTCTTGGACCCTTCCATGCGGTAGCATAGCTTTTGAACTCTGTGACCGCATAATTCAAAAATTTTCCCGTCAAACAGCTTTTAATATTCTGGCCATAACTTTCCCTCTTGATGTCCGATTGAGGTGATTCAAGTTGCGTTGGAAAGCTAACACGAAAGGCTAACTTTGATTTAGAATTCATCTTCTAATTTGATCATTTTTCATGTCAAAAATGGGTCCCAATATGAGGCTAAAAATCGGTGCATAACTTTTTCAATTGTGAATTGATTTGTGATGACATTATGATAATATTTCACTTCCTTTGACTTCTAATTGCACTCAATTGATCCTTAGAATTTTTGAATCATCATTCCATCGCCCGTCTAGTCTATGGATTATTTGCAACTTGGTCCTTGAACTTTCACTTTTTTCCACTTTGTCCCTTTTTTACTCTTTTTTTCCAAATTTCAATATTTTCCATCAAATTGCGACCTAGATCAAGACATAAGAGTAATGAGTGCATTTTGACGTCAAATAATCATATGAATGCAATAATTAAGAGGGAAAAAATATCATATTTTACACTCTTATCACGTTAGTTGAAATTGGTGCTTCGATAGACTTTGAGTTGCTGTCTCAATTATTTTGAATTCAAGGAAAAAAATGATAATAAAGTCCGAGACACTAATGATTATAAAAAGAAGTGACCTAGTTTGATAAAATTAGCCAAATATGCGTTTTAGTTTCTGAAAATGTAACGTTGAATGATTTAGTCTCTATATTTCACGAATATAGAACGTATAACTAGATATATTCGAGCGTTGAAATGAGACCTCTTTTAGTTTAGACCATTTTGATCATTGCCAACTGAAGTTCTGCACTGTTTTTCCAGACCCTCCACTTTTTTCTCTAACAAGATAGCTCACTGAACACGAAGTTCATATTCCACCTACTGATCATGACAAAGCACGATGGCTCATGAAAGATGAACATCAATCAGTTTTTCCCTATTTGTCGGAGTGATCTTATTCGCAATTTCTTCTAGGATTTGACAAATAAATAGACTTCAAAGGTAGGGGTCGAAGCATGCCAGAATCTAATTCCTCGTTATGGAGAGGATTGAATAAAGTGAGCTCTCTTGGGGTTCGAATGAAGGTAATTAGTACCCAGTATCTTCCTTTTTCCCAGAGTTGATTCCTTCCGGAGACCAAACAAAGAATCGTCAGAGTGGATTCAATAATTGAATGTTTTTAGGAGAAAGATCAGTCTTAGTACCAGCAGAAGACCCTTCAGTTTCTTTAGAAGGTGTAATCTTCTTCGAAGTGCCCCATTTCGACCCCAAGCCCCTTGCGAAGACGTATCTTTTGATCCTATAGCCCAACAATGAAGAAAAATCTTTCGTGAGGGATTGGCGCTAGAAAAAAGGTCCCAATAATTTTTTGGCACTTCCCAGTTGGGTTAGCACCAATATCAATCCTCCCTACGAAACAAAAAGTGTAGCAAGAAATACTTAAAGATAAAAAAACACGCTTTCTTTAGCATACACACTCATCCATCGTAGTTTGTATATTGCAGAAGTATGAATTCGAAGGATGGAGTAGTGTCCCTGCTTCACGAACCTCAAGATTCCTGTTAGGAATCAAAGCTATAAAAGTTCGAAGCCCAGCAAGTCCATGAACTCCTAGTGGACTTTTTTTTCTTTCCTAGAAGGAGAAGTATTAGCATAAAACGGGAGAAGTTAAATGAAGGCAAAAGGTAAATTCACCATACTCACAATAGTTGCCATAACAACAAGGTACGTTGCTGAAGAATATGAGTCATTTAGAAAATGACCCTAGTTTCCTCACACGAAGAAGAAACTCTTCTTCTAGTTATACACCTTATTGGGAGTGATTACAAGAATGAAACAGAAAATAGGAATTAAAAACTGTTCAGATTTTGCTAAATTGCTAGATCTATAAATCCATTTTTGGGCCAAACCAGTGGACGGTTGACAAAATAGAGGGCAGATTCATGACTTGCAGACCAAAGCACAGTTGGGTAGCAAACCATGATGGAAGTGACTGGGCATGGAGCCCATGTGCATAACTCCAACGAAGCGCTTGCGGTGACATTCAATGATGGTCAATATTTGACCGACCTGAAGGAAGGTTAACATTTGATCGAGTTATTTGCACATATAAAATAATAAATACGTGACAATAGTAAAGTTTTCCATTATGTGAATATTGAGTCAGTTCAAAGACAAACTTAATGTTTGACCAGATCTATTGTCAATATTTAATTACTACCCCAACAGTATCACTTACAAGTTTGATATTTTTGTTCAAAGACTAAATATCAATGTTGTGCTCGGTTTCTTGTAATAGGGCTCACCATTATTTGAAATTATTGATTGTCTAATACGAATTCCAATGTGAACATGCCATATAGGTTTAAATTCTATATTTGATCAATCCATCTACTTCTCCAATAGTTGCTGACTAATAAATTAAATTTCGCTGATTATTGTTAGGTTTTAAAGTAATGGCAATTCTGTAAACAAAAAGGACCAAATCGAAAAAGTGTAAAAGTCAAGGAGTTTGATGCAATTTTGTATAATAGTGGTTGCTAGGTTAGGGTTAAAGTTTGGAATAAGGAAAAGAGTCGCCGCAATTTCGCTTGTCTCTCACCGACACACTGCCCGAGCGACAAAATCAGAAATGACTTTTCTACCTTGTCGCCAGGATCTCGCTTTAGCGAAATACCTTCGCTCGCTCTTCACTGGTCCATCGGTCGAGTGATAGTGCATGCTAAAAAACCCTAATTTATGATTATTGAGAATTTTAATAAGACCATACTACCTAAAATGTCCTTTGTCTAAATACCTGTATCGTTTCACGAAAAATCTTGGATTGTTCACTGTGAGAAAACACACAAACCTTTCATATTTCATACAATAAATCGGTCATTGAAATTTGCAATTGAAAATGTCAAATTAAAAAATTCAAATACCAAAAACTAAAACTTCCAAAGTATCAATTAGTGGTTGACGAAGTCCCAATTGTTGGAGAACAATGAGTTCTTGAGAATTCATTGGAGATAGATGGATTTAGAACGTCGAGAGTTCTTGCAGGAGCAGACAATCTAGAAGGGCTTTGGGAACTACAATTAGGAGGTCAGAGAGTACTAGTGTAGGTCGAGTCCGACGATATTGTAAGTTGATTCGTTTATAGTGGATTCATACTAGCTGGGGCTCACAGTTTTTAATCCTGTGAGGGGTTTTCTCCGTCATCAAATATCCTGTGTTATTGTTTTCCTAAAATTTATTATATTGCGGCAGTTAAACATAGGGTAGATTGCATGTGAATTCATTTGGACTAATTAATAATTGTAACATGTTACTTAATTAATTTGCTTAAATTCCACACAAACACCTATTCATCCCCTCTAGGTATTATTTGGGTCGAACTGCATAACTTTCACTTATGAAACTAAATTTGAGGGATCGAAAGATAAAGTTCATATTGCTCTTGGCTATATGGATCTTGATCTTAGAGTTAAGGACTGAACAACCCACTGATTTTATAGATAAGTATTATATTAATGAAAAATGGGGCTCGAATAAGTGGGATTGTTTAAACCACACGAGTCTTATGATCATGAAGCATGGAATTTCAATAACATTGAGAGGCACTAAGATAACTACTGCCAAGGATTTTCTAGCGGAAATTGGCAAGAAAAAAAATACAAAGCAAAACTAGCATGCTTTTAGCGAGCTTAGTTTCACTAAATTATAAAGGTAAAGAAAACATAAAGGAGTACATTATAGAAATGTCTCATCTTATTTCAAACTAAAGATATTAAAGCTTGAGTTTTCTTGTGACTTGCTCGTGCATTTGATTTTGACTTCTGCTCTTGCACAATTCAATTAATTTAAGGTATGTTGCAACTATCAAAAGGGGAAATAGATTCTTAATGAACTGATTCCATATTGTGTGCATGAAGAAGAAATGATAAAACAAGATAACTAGTATTACTCACTTGGCAAGTACCTCAAAGGACAATTTAAAGAATAAGAAAGGTGCATTTAGTTCGATTCAAAAGAAAAAGCAAAAACCTAAAAATGATAAATCATCCTACTATTACTTTTTTGAAAATCTGGGACAAATAAATAAAGATTGTACTAAATACCACGCTTAGCATGTAAAAGTAAAGTAGACTTTTCAGTTTGGTCTTTTTTGAGGTTAATTTATGTTTAATATCACATGAATTCACTTTATAAGAGGTGACCGTATTAAGCAAATATTGATTATTATAACCGGACAAAGAACTAGTACCCATAATATTTGAATTTAAAAAAAGAAGAAGATGAAACTCGCTATTTTCAATTGAACAAGAATGGCCAAATTTGTCCAATATAGTAATAGAAACCAAATTCCATCTAAAAGACGATATCAAAAATATCTTTTCATATTTAAATAATAACTAGCCTTTAATAATAATCTAAAAGTCCCTATAGCCTCGACTTTAACTGATTTGCCGTCGCCCCACATAGATGAGTCTTTTAACATCAATTTGCTTCAACATGTTCAGACAAACCTCCATAGACACGCTTATTTGAACATTGATACCAAAATTTATCCACTAAGTGTGTCTAGGTACTAAAACTATTATTGGTTTATTAATTTGTCATGTGACATATATAATTAATTGTGTATAAAGCTATCTCAAAGTTAGGCAAAAAAATTAAAGTGATTTAATAAAGAGTTAATTACTGGACTTAGGGTATCTACATAAAGTGTGGGCCGGATTATATATATAGAAACCGGATCCATCAGGGTTTGTGTATCCTTGATGGACAAAAATATATATGAAAATATAAATATGGATATGGATCCAAATTCATATGCGACTTCACAATCTTCCCGCCTCCCGTCAAAACAAAATTAATTAAGAAAAACATATTGAAAAGAAAGATCTAAAACCCATAGTCAAGATCAATAATCCAGAAGCATGAATTCAAAAATCAAGATTATGAAACAAGAAACCAAAGTCAAGAACAAGAATTCAAGAAGCAAAGAATGCAAAATACAATATTAAAGTTAAGATGTCAAACATGAAAAGATGGCAGTTGATCTTCAAGATTGAAGATCCACATTCAAGATCCAGTAATAAATAATCATTCTCAATATATCAAGGTAAGTTTCACATTTAATAATTCTCTTGGTGGTTTGACTAAAGGATTTTAGCAATAAAGTAATTAGGTTTTCAAATTCTAAAGTTTCTAGTTTTGAAGTTTCATAAAAATTCTAACTATTCCTCCCCCAGTCCATCCTACAAATGATCTTGTTAGTGATGCCCATCTTGTATAGTTGTAGAGGTTGAGATTGAAGGTCTTCAATTGCAGACCCTAAATAATCTAGTACCATGAAGCAGGATAGAGTGATGATCTAGTTTTAACATTCCTAACTTCTGTTTTTGGCACTAACTACATGTGGGCTGTATAATCTAGTACTAACTAATTGGGATTTACTTGTTGAATGGATGTATTAAGCTTTGAGGGAAAAATGTTTTGACATCCGACGAACCTGCAGTTCAATATTCAGAGGCATTTTGATCTACTCCAGTGAGTTCTGAAAAGTTGGAGATGCATTGAAGTATCTAGAAACAAAGCCCATGTTCTTCAACTATATAGAATACACCCCAGTGTGAACATAATCCTTTTCGAAGATCAGACTACTTGGTATGAGTTAAGATTGGTTAATCTTAATCCTAGTCGTAGTTGCAGCTGAATACAATAATGAAGTAGTGATAAAGTCAAGAACGAGGCTTGATTCTACTTCTCCAATAAGTCGAAAGGAATAAGAAAACAAGGGAATTATTCATTTTCTATTGATTATTTTATTTAATTTTGCGAAATTACTACATTGAGACGGTTGTATTTAGTATTTTGAAGAATGGATTAGTTTACCTCGCTATATCTACGTTCTCCCTTATTTAATTCTGCAGTATATTATATATTACATAGAACACAAATTAGTAAAGAAAATTCTGCCAGAACTATCCGTGAAACTGCTTGTAGAAAGTTCAAACTAACCTGCATATTCTATTTCAGTCATATTATTGAGATTAATTCGTTAATTAATTAGATATTAGTATTTACAAACACAAAGACGGAAATTGAAATTATTTAAAATTTCACAGTACATGTATAAATAAATTCCAACATGTCGCAAGAGGTGTAAAAATATCTTTATACATTATGGCATAAAATTACACCAATATGAGATTATTTTATATTATATATCAGTACAGCAGTAATATAACAATTCAGCAACAGCTCACTGGTGATATTACTGTAATTGCTGCTCAGAACCACACACGGGCAGCTTTTATTTAGTGTATGTTACATATACAGTTTCAGTATCACCAAGTGATTACATATTAAGTTACGAAACTCATTCAGCGTTGGCGGTGGTGGCAATAGCAATAATAAGCACCCCAGTGTTTCTTGATACAAGAACCATAGTAAGCTCCTTCGTACTGCTTACAGTATGAGTTACACTGGTAAGGGACACATCTCCAATATCCTTTGCTTGGCCTTTGGCATGTTGCCTCCCCGATTTGCGCCTCTGCCAAGAAATTGGATTAGGTTAAGCCAAATGCCGTAATAAAAATGCTAACAAATATAGAATGCATTTGATAGGATAAGCTAAAAATGTATCTAATAGCTTAAGTTTTTCAGTGGGTGGTTCAATAGACACAAAAACCCATAGGGTTGTTCATTATCATATATAATTTTGTACTTTCTATGTCAGAAACAATACATTCATTTTAAATATTATAATGTCAAATGTGTTTAGCTAAAAAGGCAGTGAAGAATAAGTGAAATTTCAACCATTGTTGTATAGCAATGTTTTTTGTATTAATAAAATGGAAAATAAATAAATAAATAATACTATATAAGTAGCATGTCAATTGGCTGTTCTTTGTGTGTCTGAGAAATATCAAGCCCTGGGGTGGGGTACTGTTATTTGGCTGCCAGAGAAATACATACAAAAATATATAACTAACTACACTACCGACCGAAGGCTGCAAGGATGACGAAGCAGAACAAGAGTGAAAGAAACGTCGTCTTGCTGCTATCAAGAAGTCTACCCATAGCTATATACTCTTAATGTCAAGTGCTTATTATCAAGTGCTTGTGATAATATGCTGTAAATAGTATGCCCTAGGTCCAATCAACTTTGAACATAAATACTTGTATATATAATTAATACAATTTAATGGCAGATCTATTATTTAATTAATAGACAAATAAATAAATAATAGTTTACCCATAGATATATACTCTTAATGTCAAGAATCGTAGGAAGGTTGTGATTGACTAATAAAGGATTCATCACTCTTAGATAGTAGGAGATTATGATCTACGTTTCATTCAATTAAGTCAATAACGAAATCCTTGGCCAAGGTGTACTCATAAGTTGAAAATGAGTTTTCGACTTATATTGACTTAATAGTCGAGTGAAATATATGATCGAAATTCGGGATTGACACAATTCCATATCTCATAATTGATCGGATCATATTGACGAAGGGATTATAGTTTCACAGTAAACGAACGAATTTGGTTTTTTCATACCACGTAACATTTTCCGTCACATGTATTGCCCTAATACATTGCTAGATGTCAATCAGGGACGGCTAGTGTGAATTGACGATAAATTAAAAGGGTGTGTTAATTTAACAATTTTGATTAGATCAAAATAATATTTTACATCGTTAGGCATTGTGGTCGGGAACCTAATGGGTCGCACACAAAAGAGAATTGGAAGATTGCAAATTACCAATTGGTTAATTTAACAATCGTTGGATAAATTAATTAATTGGATTTGTTATTTATATTCCCGAATTAATTAATTGGATTAATTAATTCACAAACCGGGTTTAATTAAATGGATTAATTAAATATTGGATCGGATCGGGTCGAGCCCGTTTGGGCTTATATAAATACATGGTTAGGGTTTGAGGTCCATATGGTTTTCATTATTCTTGCTGGCACAAGAGAAAAAACCCTGGTAGTTGCAATCTTATTCTCTGGGTGGATCACCGTTGGAGGCTGGACAATTGGACAGCTGTGGATGACGAATCAAGATTGCTGGAACGAAAAGAAAAACAAAAGGTTTGTAGAATTCTTCAAAGGTACAATCTTTATCACGATTTCTATTTAAACACAAAGGGATTATCAGTGGGAATCGAAATAATTTCAATTTTTCGTTGTGCATGTATAAGTAGATTCCCAACAGTGGTATCAGAGTCTACTTTGTGTTTGTTAGGAGTTGATTTTTGATTGTTATTGTTTTTCATGTTTCTAGCAATTAAGAAAATTACTTTTCGTATTCAAAATTGGTTTTGAGATAAAAAAAATTAAATTTTCGTAAATTAAATAAAAAAATGAGGAAGGAATTTGAAAATCGGGCAAAAATTGCCGACGGCGTTGGATGCCGCTCACCTGCGCTGCTCCCGCCGAGCAGCACCGGGCGCTGCCCGACTGTTGAATGCAGCAGCGTGCAGCGCTGCCCGACGGTTGAATGCAGCAGCGTGCGGCGTTGCTGTTGCACGCTGCTGCTATTGTAGCAGTAGCGCCGACTGCCTGGTACTAATGACCAGCACCGCCAAGAATAAAGAGGAAAAGGGCCGACGATTTCTTAGGGTATTCAGATTGGGCAATTTGGAGGCGGGGGTTCCTTTGCAATTAAAGTAATTGTGGGCCCCATGTCTGCAATTATTTTCCAAGGGGTCAGTTTGCAAATTTTAAAAAGGGGACCTCTTTGCAATTTATGAAATGTAAAGGGGCTACCTGCAATTAAATGAGAACGGTAACTTTGCAATTTTAATTGGAGGACCTGTCTTGCTATTAAGTTAATTGAAGGACCACCTTTTAATTATAAACTTGGGTCAATTTGTAAATTTCAAAATGGATTTTGAATTTGAATTCTAAATTGGTTTTTAAAATGTATTTTAATGGGTTTGACCTATAAATTTAATTTTGACCCAAAGTAAAACAATTTATTTAAAATTGACGACTTTTACATTTTCGTTAAAATTGGATTTTAACTTAAATATTAAACTTTGACCCCAATTGAATTTTATTTTATTTAGGAGTGTTATCCTAATTTAAAATATCAATTCAATTTAAATTAGAGTTGGACTCTAATTTAGGACTTAAATTAAAAAATCTGTTTTAATTAATTTTTCACCCGAAGATATTTTTGAAATTAGAATTAGATTCTAATTTGACGTTTAATTAAAATTTGATTTTAATTAAATTTTTTCGCCCTAAACTTTTCGGTAGATTAGAGTTAGACTCTAATTTGGTGTTTGATTAAAATTTGATTTTAATTAAACGGGTTGGCCCTAAAAAAAAAAAAGAAAAAAACACAGATTTAGAGTTGGATTCTAATTCTACTATTTAATTAAATTGTGTTGCCCTAAAATTTTATTATAGATTAGATTTAGACTATAATTTATGTTTAATTAAAATTTGATTTTAATTAAACATGTTCGCCCTAAGATCTTGGATTTAGAGTTGGACTCTAATTTTACCATTGAATTAAATTTGTTTTTAATTAAATTCAACCGCCTTAAGTTATGGAATTAGAGTTAGACTCTGATTTTGTTATTTAATTAAAATTTGATTTTAATTGAAGTCAACCACCTTGAATTTTGAAAGTAGAGTTTAACTCTAATTTGATATTTAATTAAAATTTAATTTTAATTAATTATCCCGCCCTATAATTGTTGAATTAGAGTTGGACTCTAATTCAGTATTTAATTAAAATTTGATTTTAATTAAACATGCCTGCTAATTAAATAATTGATTAATATGATTAATTAATTATTTAATTGTTCCGATCCATTTGTTTAAAAGAGTTTAGACGACCTTAATTGCTAGAAACTTGAAACTAATTTGCATATAATATTAGATATTATATAGGTATATATTTATATGATGAATGTATTATTAGTGGACGATTATGGACTCGACCATATGGATATGTTGAATGATTAATTTTTATTCTTGTTGTTTTCTGGGACTGCGAGCTCTTGATCATTTTGGACCTGTGAGTCCATTGTTATTATTATTATTGATGTGGGCCTGCGAGTTCAATTTCATTTAGGCCTGCGTGCCAACTAGTATATGATACAGGTTGCAACTGGACTAATTGAAGAGACAAGAAGAGGAAGAGACCATGGAGATGGCGCATTGATACTGTTCAATGCTAAACCCTCAGGAATTGATCAACTAGTCTTCCTTATGGCTCAGGAAAACTAGATAGTAAAAATCCATTATCGTCCATATTATTATATTATGATATATATATTTATTTGCATGGTAGATGTATAATAATATATATATATATATATATATATANAATATTAGATATTTCTGAATGATGGGTTCGACTTAACTAAAATTTATTTTTTGTTGAGTACACTCAAGGAGATAAATTTTAGAGGCATGTTAAGCTAACACATAAAACGTGTGAAAACAAAGAGTTGTTAGCTTAATGATCTGGGAGTTGTATTGAGATACTATTGATAATAGTATCTACTCAAATGTTAAATTAAGGCCTGTTGAGTACACTCAAGATCTTAATATAATAGATGGGATCCCAACTCATTGGGAGTCAAGTGTGGACTCCATAAATTTATATAAGAGGGTCATAAATTTTATTTAAACAGTGGAAACATAATTAATTTAATAAAAGTCCATGTTAAATTAATTGATGCATTTTATATATTATTCTTTTCCTTTTCGTTATTTCTATTTATATTGAATCTTGAGTAGCCATATATTTTGAATGGCATACTGGATGCCAACAACCAAATTAAATCTTCTTGATTGGCACCGCAATTTGAGAATTGTTCTCAAGCGTGCGAAAGTTGGTTGTCCTTAAGTATCCATTTTCCAGAGACATCTAGTGATGACCCGATTAAGAAAGAGGTGGTTGCTATAATAAACGCAGTGATGACAGTAGTAATGCAACGTATGTGATACCTTCAACTATGTCACCTGAGTTACAAAAGCAACTTGAGAGTGTAGATGTTAACACATAATTTTTCATTACAAAGAGTTGTATGATAATAATCATGTGTGGAAGGATATGAGACTTCCAAACAACTATACC